TATCGGTAGATTCTTCAACGGCTGTGGTTGGTGGAGGCGTTGTTACGTCACTGGAGAGTACCTCGGATGTACTTACCGACAAGGCCTCGATTGTGGTAGTTCCTTCCGTAAAAGAAGCTTCTATTGTACCGACGGAAGACATATTGGTAGTTCCTGTTTCAAGTGGCGTGATTTCTTCTGTACTATCCACGTCATCAGAAGTACTTACAATTATCGTCGTTTCCTCTGTAGTGTCGCGTTCAGATGCGGTGCTGGGAGGTACCGTGGTTCCTGTTGTACTACCCCTCTCAGTCGATGCCGTGGTAGTTTGTGGTAGCGTGGTCTCTGCCGTGGTAGTTGGAAGCGTTGTACCATCTGTCGCGGTACTCCTCTGGCTTGTAGTTGTAGGAGAAAACGCAGAGTCATCCATACTGCCTGTCAGACCAGTCTCAGTTGTAAATTGTAGTATCGTGGTGTCTACCGTAGTACCCGGCACATCTGTCGATGTCGACGGCATGTCGGTATTCTCCGTGCTTCCCTGCTCTGCGGGTGTAGTTTTCATGGTGGTGGTTTTATCAGTACCCCTACTGTCTTCAGTTACTGTACTCGATGACAGAAGCGTAGTTTGTTCTGTACCAGTGCGGACGGTGGTCTGTTCTGTCTTACTTGTGTTCAGTGCTGTGGTGAGCTCCAAAGTTCCCCTGTGCCCAGTGGTAGTAATTGTTGACATTGTGGTCTCTTCAGTGCTTCCTGTTGTAGTATCTCTCCCAGTACTCGTTGCCATGGTGCCAAACGATGTACTAGTAGTTTGCATGGAGGTAGATTGTGGTACTGTGGTCTTTTCCGTAGTGCCTGTATCTTTCTCGGTTGTTTCTTCAGCGATTACCGTTGTCACTTGCAGGTATGTTGTTTCTTTCGATGTACCGAGTTCTGCAGACGTTGATGTAGCTTCCGTGGTGCTTTCCGTGCTCCCGCGCCTTCTCAGTTGGTGTAAGGCGTCCCACGGTTGACCACAGCAAAAATCTCATTTAATATTATAATGACCTACTTGAATATTGTAATGAGCCAAATGCAGTCTTGAAGCTTGTACATATGCAACAGTTTGAGTGATAACCCAGTGCCTCTGCCCCGCCTGCCGTTTTGCATTTGATTTGCGCGCTAATTCCATCCTGTGGAGTTAATTGGTACCCCTCTTTTGTTTTCAATTGGCTGATCAAGAGCAGAACGGATGTCAGGCTTGCATAAATACTAGTAACACAGACAAAACAACTGTAAGCAATGATCAACAAGTTCTATTTGAAGCTCTTGCTGTAAGTTACAACACATTTATTCTGATCTGAATCTGGCCCCTAAACAACCTGAAGATATAAGTAAGTTACCTCCAGCATGACCTACAAAGGGTCCCTTTAGGAAGGGCCACGAATATTAGAACCCATAAAAAAATGGGGATAACTGACAAGGAGAGTGGGCCACAGCAAGGAGGTTCCCTGTAACACTAACAGATAAACATGGCCTCCCGAGCTCACCCAACCATCATGATGGTGATATAATAACCTCCTTGGTTAAGAGTCGGGAGCAAGGTCGGCTATAGTGTTCGGCTGTGCCAGTTTAGTATCTAAAGCATTAGGGTGCGTTATTAGAAATTGTTTGGAACATCTTGGAAAAGGTTAATAGCCCCAACTATTTCCGGTAAAGCTAATCTCTGCAAATTCACCCAGTATTGACCCGTTCAGACTATATGCCAGACAGTTCCCAGCCTCAATGCACATGCTAGGCCCTGTTATTAGACTCGGTTAGACAAAGGAGATATGATATACCAAGAGACCATGGAGTTTGGTTAGACCAAGGAGGTTATATTTAACCTCCTTGGTTAGACCCTGTGAAAAAACTTTCGGAAGGGAAATGCTGTCCCCTGGATTGAGAAGGTACTAGCGGCCTACATAGCGGCCCTGGTAACAGTCTGACACCCAGGCTAAGACCTGTATAAACCTTTCATTCAATTGTTGTCAATTTGTTACTGTCTGTAAAACATTTTCTTTCAAGACCTATATTGAAAAAAAAGGAAAGCTGGGCCGAGCTGTAGTGAACAATTACTGCGCATAACAAAAGACAGCCAACCTTTTGTCTTGTGGCAAGGGCAAATTACAGATAATTACGTCTCATAGAGGTGCTAAATACACGACTAATTGGCCTACCGACGTGATTGACAGCTAGAATTTGCTAAGAAGGTAAAGATTCATAATCTTAACTTTGAAGCGTTTTGAGGAACTATAGCCATGCCCAGGGAACGTCAGATTCAAAGTAGAATGATTGGTAATGTCCTGAACTACCAGAACCTGTTTAGATCCTTTTGCTTATCATGAACTGTCTTTTGATATAGGGCAAGGAAGTTAGGGTTACCCTAAAATTATGGCATTGAAATGGACAAAAACATATTTCATAAAAAGCAGGAATAACATTTCAAATACATCAAAACAGTTTCTAAATGGTGACAGATGTAAGAATGTACCCTCCAAAAAGCGTCTGTCTATGATGTTGGCTATAGTTCCTCGATTTACGTTTTCTGTTTAAGAATTATGCATCATATCAGACATAGAAATATGAAAATATAAGAAATATAACAACATGAAAGTAATATTTCAACACTCAACAAGTTGTATTTTGCCTTTCCCACAAGTTTGAACCATTTCTGACCAGCTACGGCTGAGTTATGGCATTTTTCCGAAAGGACCTGAAAAATCAGTAAATTGGCACCGTGGGACGCCTTACACCAACTGAGTTTGTGTGGTACTTTGCGTCGCAGTGCTACCATACGTTGTTGGAGGTACCGTGGTTTCACCCGTTGTACGACGTGTCGATGATGTAGCTGTAAATACTGTTGTTTCATCAGTGGTACCAGTTGCCTCGTTTGCAATTGTCTCTGCAGTGGTTTCCCCTGTCGAGCCTTTTGTGTATGTTGCTGTAGATACCATGGTGGATTTCTGTATAGTAGTCCTACTAGTTGCTGTGTTGATGGTAGTTTTCTCTGTGTTGAGTTTAGTAGCTGGTGGCGTTGAGGTTTCGTCCGCAGTACCTAGGTCAAGCGATGTAGTAAGAACCACTGTTGTTTCCATCGTTGTAGTTTTCCTTGTTGTGCCAGATTGAGTGGTTGTAGCCGGCGATAAAGTCGTTGTCTCGGCCGCACCTTGTCTTGTTGTAGCTTCTGTAGTTGTCTCAGTGGAAGTCTGTGACGTAGTTGTTTCCCTTGTGCTTCCAAAGTTTCCAGTTGTTTCGACTTCCATGGTGATGGTTTCTGTGGTACCAGGTGCCGCAGTAACTGTTGTTTCTCCAGACCCTTTTTCTGTAGTAGAACTTTTTTTTTCTGTTGTGCCCAAGGTTGTGTCGGTACTTGTTCGCGTAGTCATCGTTGTTTCATATGGAGTATTCATAGTCGACGATGTACCAATGGTTACCGCAGTAGTTCGATCAGTATTTGTGGTACCGGTCTTTGGCATAGTAGTCATCGTTGTTTCTTCTGGTGTATTCATAGTCGACGATGTGCCAATGGTTACCGCAGTAGTTTGATCAGTACTTGTGGTGCCGGTCTTTGGTATTGTAGTCATGTCGGTAGCAGCTTTATTCGACTGTTCCGTTGTAATTTCTGAAGTCGCTGTGCGGCGCTGTGTGGCTGCTGTAGCAGTACCTATGGTTTGAGTTGTGTCCCTTGATGGCGTGGTGGTACCAGGAGGTACCGTGCTTCTCTCGTCTGTTGTACCTCGCGTTGAGGGCACCATGGTGCTGCTACTAGTCCTTCGATCTGATGTAGTTTCTGTCGGTGTCGTTTGCTCAGTCTGTTCAGTTGAAGATGGTGTCGTCGACTGTGTCTCTGCTGAACATAGAAAATAAGAAATAGTAGATTTCAGACTCTCTAAGCATTTTGAGCTTTCATGACCTTCAAGTTTACATCACTTTCTGCCTAACCTTTCGAGGTCCTGTTATTTTGCCCTTCCCCACCCAAGAGCTGTCAACCTATACTCAAGGCCGCCCCATTTCCTGCGTCGAATCTATTGACGCTCATTCAGCATGTCAATCTTCCTCACCCACGACATTATAGGACACAACATGGCCAGACTTGCACACTTGACATTGTTCCTTACCTGACGTTTCTGTCACAATGTCGGTAGTGAACACCCCTGAAGTTGTTTGTTCTGTCGACCCCGCTGTAGACTGTGCTGCTGACGTCATCATTGTCCGTGACGTCGTCAATTCCGGTATAGCAGACTGTGCTGCTGACGTCATCACTGTCCTTGACGATGTCGATTCCGGTGTGCCTGACTGTAACGTATTACGCATCGTTGTCGACGAAACCTCAGTAACTGGTGCTGTAAAGAAACTTGTTGTGGACTCCGTCGTGTCTATTCCTGAGCCCGTTGTTACCACTTCTGTTGAAAATTCCGTCGTAACCGGTGGACTTGTGGCGGTTGGTTGAGGAGTGGATGTCCGTACAGTTGTTCTCTGGCTTGTTGACTGACTAGTAAGCGATGGAAACGTTGTGACAGGCCTTTCAGTTGTTTCTTCGGTTGTTTCTCTCTTTCCTAACGTAGAAGGCCTAGGTGTAGCCGAATAACTAGTTGTAACCTCTGCAGTTGATAAATCCGTTGTAATGCCATGCGTTGTGTCGGTAGAAACTTTTGTTGTAGCGTCCGACACCAATGCGGTTGTAGACGTTGGTGGTCCTGTCGTTCGGTCTGTTGCAGTTTTTGCTGTGTTAAGAGCTGTAGACGTTGCAACGTACGTTGTATCGACTGTTGTCACAGAAACATCTGTAGAAGACGTTTCATCTATTACGTCAGTAGATGATGACGATATGCTTTCAGACGTTGTCTTCTGAGTTGAAGTTCCTCCACCCGTCGCATGGAGCGTGGTAGTATCAGTTGCCGTAGTATCGGTAGTATCAGTACTGAAACCAGTCGACAAGGCCTCGGTTGTAGTTCGTAACGTAAAAGAATCTACGGTTGTAACTTCGGTACCAACAGACGATGATTCGGTTGTATCGGTAGATCTCTCAGCAGCTGTGGTCGGTGGAGACGTTGTTACGTCACTGGAAAGAGCACCGGATGTACTAGTACTCAAACCAGTCGACAAGGCCTCGGTTGTAGTTCCTACAGTAAAAGAAGCTACCGTTGTAACTTCGGTACCAACAGACGACAACTCGGTTGCATCAGTAGATATTTCAACAGCTGTGGTTGGTCGAGCTGTTGTTACGTCACTGGACGGTACCCCGGATGTACTCAAACCAGTTGAGGAGGCCTCGGTTGTAGTTCGTACCGTAACAGAATTTTCCGTCGTTACTTTTGTCCCGACAGACGATAATTCGGTTGTATCAGTAGATATTTCAACAGCGGTGGTTGGTGGAGACGTTGTTACGTCACTGGAAAGAGCCCCGGATGTACTAGTACTCAAACCAGTCGACAAGGCCTCGGTTGTAGTTCCTACCGTAAAAGAATCTACCGTTGTAAATTCGGTACCGACGGAAAACATTTCGGTTGTATCGGTAGATTCTTCAACAGCCGTGGTCATGTTCGTTGCCATTTCCGTGTTGGTCACAGGGGCGGTTGGGCTGACACCACAGCCACTAACTGGACACCTGTTCTCATTTGGAATGAAAGAAATGAAGTCGCCATCAATGTATGCCAACAAGAGAACTGTCTGAGACCCAATCCTGTCGAATTCATAATGCAACACCATATGTACGATATTGGTAGAAAAAGTAGTGGAAATATTAGAAACATTACGAAGGTTACTAAAGCTTGATAAACAGTTAAGTTAAGTTAAGAGATTAGGCACAAACAACTTACAAAACGAAGGAGCTGGTACTTAGCCCCAGTGGATTCTCAGTGTCGTTGGCAACGGCCTGCCTCAATGTGTTCATCACGCTGGCGGCGTCTACCGAGGCGTTCTGTTGGAAGTTGGCGTTCACGGTGGCCACGACACTGCCTGGCCGGAAACTGCTGACCGTGACGCTGAGAAGGCCACTGGTCGAGCTCGACAGGTACACGAATATCTACATGCAAACAATACTGTATTTTTTAACAAAGGAAGTTAATTTAAAGTCTTCAACAGTTATCTTCCATGAATTTAGAAAATCCATTGTGTCATTGGCTGTCTTCGTCGTCCATCAGTCATTATAATTACAGAAAATAGAAACGTTTGATGGCTACGTCAAGAATACAAGAACACAATGTAATCAAATACAAAAGGCAATGCCATTGTAAGAGTACGTTGACATCAACATTCAAAACAATGCGATTCTTAAACAAAAGAATAAAAAAGCAGCCATGGGTCATTTTTCTATCAGCCTGACCTTGCTGGAGACCGTGCGTGCCAGAGTTCTGAACGCCTGTGAGCTGGAGTCAGCCAGGTCTGCCGTGTAGCTGATGTTCATGGTCATCTCCAGGCTTACCTGTTCAGCAGCTGTTAGAAACAAAGAATGCCTGTCAAGATCGCCTTCTCCAATAAAACACTGTAATGGCTGAAATGAATACTTCATTATGAACTGATATTCAAGATCACTGACGATCATCAAAACGTTGACTCTTGTGAACAAGTGGTTGTGAGTAAAGAACGTTATATTCACCAACCTGATGAAACAATTTAAGGATTCATTATGAATTGTAGTCAACAAATATGAGCTAGATGTTTCGTCTATTGTCTCCATGCAATGTTTTAACTGGGACAATTAAGAAAGTATGGCCTGAACTCTTACCCAGGGTACAGATGGTGCCGTTCCCTTGATATCCAGAGCTACAGACACACGTGTGACCAGACTGCCGTGTGACACATGTGGCGTACAGGTGACAGGGCGTGGCGCATGACGTATTGGGTGTCGTGACTTGTGAGGGAGTAGTCATCTTAGTTGCTGTTCTCCATCCGTCGCATGGAGCGTAGTATCAGTATCGGTAATATCAGTACTGAAAACCGGTCGACAAAACCCTCGGTTGTAACCGTTGTAAATTCGGTGCCAACGGAAACATTTCGGTTGTATCGGTAGTTTCTTCAACGGCTGTGGTTGGTGGAGGCGTTGTTACGTCACTGGAGAGTACCTCGGATGTACTTACCGACAAGGCCTCGATTGTGGTAGTTCCTTCCGTAAAAGAAGCTTCTATTGTACCGACGGAAGACATATTGGTAGTTCCTGTTTCAAGTGGCGTGATTTCTTCTGTACTATCCACGTCATCAGAAGTACTTACAATTATTGTCGTTTCCTCTGTAGTGTCGCGTTCAGATGCGGTGCTGGGAGGTACCGTGGTTTCTGTTGTACTACCCCTCTCAGTCAATGCCGTGGTAGTTTGTGGTAGCGTGGTCTCTGCCGTGGTAGTTGGAAGCGTTGTACCATCTGTCGCGGTACTCCTCTGGCTTGTAGTTGTAGGAGAAAACGCAGAGTTATCCGTACTGCCTGTCAGACCAGTCTCAGTTGTAAATTGTAGTATCGTGGTGTCTACCGTAGTACCCGGCACATCTGTCGATGTCGACGGCATGTCGGTATTCTCCGTGCTTCCCTGCTCTGCGGGTGTAGTTTTCATGGTGGTGGTTTTATCAGTACCCCTACTGTCTTCAGTTACTGTACTCGATGACAGAAGCGTAGTTTGTTCTGTACCAGTGCGGACGGTGGTCTGTTCTGTCTTACTTGTGTTCAGTGCTGTGGTGAGCTCCAAAGTTCCCCTGTGCCCAGTGGTAGTAATTGTTGACATTGTGGTCTCTTCAGTGCTTCCTGTTGTAGTACCTCTCCCAGTACTCGTTGCCATGGTGCCAAACGATGTACTAGTAGTTTGCATGGAGGTAGATGGTGGTACTGTGGCCTTTTCCGTAGTGCCTGTATCTTTCTCGGTTGTTTCTTCAGCGATTGCCGTTGTCACTTGAAGGTATGTTGTTTCTTCCGATGTACCGAGTTCTGCAGACGCTGATGTAGCTTCCATGGTGCTTTCCGTGGTCCCGCGCCTTTGTGTGGTACTTTGCGTCGCAGTGCTACCATACGTTGTTGGAGGTACGGTGGTTTCACCCGTTGTACGACGTGTCGATGATGTAGCTGTAGATACTGTTGTTTCATCAGTGGTACCAGTGGGTTCGTTTGCAATTGTCGCTGCAGTGGTTTCCCCTGTTGAGCCTTTTGTGTATGTTGCTGTAGATACCATGGTGGATTTCTGTATAGTAGTCCTACCAGTTGCTGTGTTGATGGTAGTTTCCTCTGTGTTGAGTGTAGTAGCTGGTGGCGTTGAGGTTTCGCCCGCAGTACCTAGGTCAAGCGATGTAGTAAGAACCACAGTTGTTTCCATTGTTGTAGTTTTCCTTGTTGTGTCAGATTGAGTGGTTGCACCCGGTAATAAAGTCGTTGTCTCGGCCGCACCTTGTCTTGTTGTAGCTTCTGTAGTTGTCTCAGTGGAGGTCTGCGACGTACTTGTTTCCCTTCCAAAGATACCAGTTGTTTCGACTTCCATGGTGATGATTTCTGTGGTACCAGGTGGCGTAGTAGCTGTTGTTTCTCCAGTCCTCCTTTCTGTAGTAGAACTTCGTCTTTCTGTTGTACCCAAGGTTGTCCCAGTACTTGCTCGCGTAGTCAACGTTGTTTCTTCTGGAGTATTCATAGTCGACGATGTAACAATGGTTACCGCAGTAGTTTGATCAGTGTTTGTGGTACCGGTCTTTGGCATAGTAGTCATCGTTGTTTTTTCCGGAGAAGTCATAGTCGTTGATGTGCCAATGGTTACCACAGTAGTTTGATCAGTATTTGTGGTGTCGGTCTTTGGTATAGTAGTCATGTCAGTAGCACCTTTACTCGAAGTATTCTGTTGTAGATTGTCGAAGTGTAGTTTCTTCCGTGGTGGTCATTTCAAAAGTGACGACAGTTGTCTGCGTTCCACTGGTCTCTTCCGTTGTAGTTATTTCTGAAGTCGCTGTGATGCGCTGTGTGGCTGCTGTAGCAGTACCTATGGTTTGAGTTGTGTCCCTTGATGCCGTGGTAGTACTGGGTGGTACCGTGCTTCTCTCGTCTGTTGTACCTCGCGTTGAAGGCATCATGGTGCTGCTACCGGTCGCTCCTAGCGTGGTTTCTGTCGGTGTTGTCCGCCCAGTCTGCTCAGTTGAAAATGGTGTCGTCGACTGTGTCTCTTCTGAACATAGAAAATAAGAAATAGTAGATTTCAGACTCTCTAAGCATTTTTAGCTTTCGTGACCTTCAAGTTTGCATCATTTTCTGCCTAACCTTTTGAGGTCCTGTTATTTTGCCCTTCCCCACCCAAGAGCTGTCAACCTATACTCAAGGCCGCCCCATTTCCTGCGTCGAATCTATTGACGCTCATTCAGCATGTCAATCTTCCTCACCCACGACATTATAGGACACAACATGGCCAGACTTGCACACTTGACATTGTTCCTTACCTGACGTTTCTGTCACAATGTCGGTAGTGAACACCCCTGAAGTTGTTTGTTCTGTCGACCCCGCTGTAGACTGTGCTGCTGACGTCATCATTGTCCGTGACGTCATCAATTCCGGTATAGCAGACTGTGCTGCTGACGTCATCACTGTCCTTGACGTTGTCGATTCCGGTGTACCTGACTGTGACGTAGTGCGCATTGTTGTCGACGAAATCTCAGTAACTGGTGCTGTAGAGAAACTTGTTGTGGACTCCGTTGTGTCTACTCCTGAGCCCGTTGTTACCACTTCTGTTGAAAATTCCGTCGTAACCCGTGGACTTGTGGCGGTTGGTTGAATAGTGGATGTCCGTATAGTTGTTCTCTGGCTGTTGCCGCTCACAGTCGCAGCAGTCGTGGTTTCTCCTGAGGTACCGAACCCCCTTGTGGAGGTTTGGAGTACCGTGGTTTTCTTCGTGGTACCCTGCTCTGTTGTGGTAGTTGGTGTTGGTGTTAATGTTGTTTCACCAGTTACAACTACATCTGTCGTGACGACGGTTGGTGGAATCGAGGTATCTACCGTGGTACCTAGCTTCACTGTAGAAGTCGGAGGTGCTGCTGTGGCGTGCGTAGTACCAAGTTCAATTGTAGACGATAGAGGTATCGGGGTATCGTCAGTAGTACCTAAATCGGTGGTAGACGTTGACGGAACTGGGGTCTCCACTGTGGTACCCAGCTCAACTGTAGAGGTCGGGGGCATCAATGTCTCTACCGTGGTACCTACGTCCTTTGTAACTGTCGCAGGCATTGGTGTTTTTACCGTGGTACCTAGCTTGGTTGTAGACCTTTGCGTCACTGAGGTTTCTACGGTAGTACCCAGCTCCACTGTTGAAATTATAGGCGTTGCTCTCTCCTCTGTAGTATCTAGCTCAACAGTAGAGGTTTGAGGCATTGGTGTCTCATCCGTGGTATCTAGCTCAACTATAGAGGTTGGAGGCATTGGTGTCTCATCAGTAGTATCAAGCTCAATCGTGGAAGTCGCAGGGGCCGGTGTCTCTACCGTAGTCCCTCTTTCGGTTGTAAACGTTGTAGGCATGGGTGCTTCTTCCGTGCTACCTAGATCTGTTGTAGAGGTTGGGGGCATTGGCGTCTCGTCCGTGGTACCTAAATCCGTTGTAGAGGTTAGAAGCTCTAACGTCTCTACCGTGGTACCTAGCTCCGTCGTCACTGTCACTGGCATTGGTGTCTCTACTGTGGTACCTAGCCTCGTTGTTACTGTCGCTGGCATTGGTGTTTCGTCCGTGGTACCTAGCCTCGTTGTATCTTTCTCGGTTGTTTCTTCAGCGATTACCGTTGTCACTTGCAGGTATGTTGTTTCTTCCGATGTACCGAGTTCTGCAGACGTTGATGTAGCTTCCGTGGTGCTTTCCGTGGTCCCGCGCCTTTGTGTGGTACTTTGCGTCGCAGTGCTACCATACGTTGTTGGAGGTACCGTGGTTTCACCCGTTGTACGACGTGTCGATGATGTGGCTGTAGATACTGTTGTTTCATCAGTGGTACCAGTAGCTTCGTTTGCAATTGTCGCTGCAGTGGTTTCCCCTGTCGAGCCTTTTGTGTATTGTTGCTGTAGGTACCATGGTGGTTTTCTGTGTAGTAGTCCTACTAGTTGCTGTGTTGATGGTAGTTTTCTCTGTGTTTAGTTTAGTAGCTGGTGGCGTTGAGGTTTCGTCCGCAGTACCTAGGTCAAGCGATGTAGTATGAACCACTGTTGTTTCCATTGTTGTAGTTTTCCTTGTTGTGCCAGATTGAGTGGTTGTAGCCGGCGATAAAGTCGTTGTCTCGGCCGCACCTTGTCTTGTTGTAGCTTCTGTAGTTGTCTCAGTGGAAGTCTGTGACGTAGTTGTTTCCCTTGTGCTTCCAAAGTTTCCAGTTGTTTCGACTTCCATGGTGATGGTTTCTGTGGTACCAGGTGCCGCAGTAACTGTTGTTTCTCCAGACCGTTTTTCTGTAGTAGAACTTTTTCTTTCTGTTGTGCCCAAGGTTGTGTCGGTACTTGTTCGCGTAGTCATCGTTGTTTCATATGGAGTATTCATAGTCGACGATGTACCAATGGTTACCGCAGTAGATCGATCAGTATTTGTGGTACCGGTCTTTGGCATAGTAGTCATCGTTGTTTCTTCTGGTGTATTCANATAGTAGTCATCGTTGTTTCTTCTGGAGTATTCATAGTCGACGATGTGCCAATGGTTACCGCAGTAGTTTGATCAGTACTTGTGGTGCCGGTCTTTGGTATTGTAGTCATGTCGGTAGCAGCTTTATTCGACTGTTCCGTTGTAATTTCTGAAGTCGCTGTGCGGCGATGTGTGGCTGCTGTAGCAGTACCTATGGTTTGAGTTGTGTCCCTTGATGGCGTGGTGGTACCAGGAGGTACCGTGCTTCTCTCGTCTGTTGTACCTCGCGTTGAGGGCACCATGGTGCTGCTACTAGTCCTTCGATCTGATGTAGTTTCTGTCGGTGTCGTTTGCTCAGTCTGTTCAGTTGAAGATGGTGTCGTCGACTGTGTCTCTGCTGAACATAGAAAATAAGAAATAGTAGATTTCAGACTCTCTAAGTATTTTGAGCTTTCATGACCTTCAAGTTTACATCACTTTCTGCCTAACCTTTCGAGGTCCTGTTATTTTGCCCTTCCCCACCCAAGAGCTGTCAACCTATACTCAAGGCCGCCCCATTTCCTGCGTCGAATCTATTGACGCTCATTCAGCATGTCAATCTTCCTCACCCACGACATTATAGGACACAACATGGCCAGACTTGCACACTTGACATTGTTCCTTACCTGACGTTTCTGTCACAATGTCGGTAGTGAACACCCCTGAAGTTGTTTGTTTCGTCCTCCCCGCTGTAGACTGTGCTGCTGACGTCATCATTGTCCCTGACGTCGTCAACTCCGGTATAGCAGACTGTGCTGCTGACGTCATCACTGTCCTTGACGTTGTCGATTCCGGTGTACCTGACTGTGACGTAGTGCGCATTGTTGTCGACGAAATCTCAGTAACTGGTGCTGTAGAGAAATTTGTTGTGGACTCCGTCGTGTCTACTCCTGAGCCCGTTGTTACCACTTCTGTTGAAAATTCCGTCGTAACCGGTGGACTTGTGGCGGTTTGTTGAATAGTGGATGTCCGTATAGTTGTTCTCTGGCTGTTGCCGCTCACAGTCGCAGCAGTCGTGGTTTCTCCCGAGGTACCGAACTCCCTCGTGGAGGTTTGCAGTACCGTGGTTTTCTTTGTGGTACCCTGCTCTGTTGTGGTAGTTGGTGTTGGTACCGGTGTTAATGTTGTTTCACCTGTTACAACTACATCTGTCGTGACAAGAGTTGCTGGCATCGAGGTATCTACTGTGGTTCCGAGCTTGGCTGTAGTGGTCGGAGGTGCTGCTGTGACTTTTGTAGTACCTAGTTCAATAGTAGAAGTTAGGGGCATCGGAGTATCGTCCGTAGTACCTAATTCGGTGGTAGACGTTGAAGAAACTGGGGTCTCCACCGTGGTACCCAGCTCAACTGTAGAGGTCGGAGGCATCGATGTCTCTACCGTGGTACCTACATCCGCTGTAACTGTCGCAGACATTGGCGTCTTTACCGTGGTACCTAGCTTGGTTGTAGACGTTGGAGGCACCGAGGTCTCTACGGTAGTACCCAGCTCCACTGTTGAAATTATAGGCGTTGCTCTCTCCTCTGTAGTATCTAGCTCAACAGTAGAGGTTTGAGGCATTGGTGTCTCATCCGTGGTATCTAGCTCAACTGTAGAGGTTGGAGGCATTGGTGTCTCATCAGTAGTATCAAGCTCAACTGTGGAAGTCGCAGGGGCCGGTGTCTCTACCGTAGTCCCTCTTTCGGTTGTAAACGTTGTAGGCATGGGTGCTTCTTCCGTGCTACCTAGATCTGTTGTAGAGGTTGGTGGCATTCGCGTCTCGTCCGTGGTACCTAAATCCGTTGTAGAGGTTAGAAGCTCTAACGTCTCTACCGTGGTACCTAGCTCCGTCGTCACTGTCGCTGGCATTGGTGTCTCTACTGTGGTACCTAGCCTCGTTGTTACTGTCGCTGGCATTGGTGTTTCGTCCGTGGTACCTAGCCTCGTTGTATCTTTCTCGGTTGTTTCTTCAGCGATTACCGTTGTCACTTGCAGGTATGTTGTTTCTTCCGATGTACCGAGTTCTGCAGACGTTGATGTAGCTTCCGTGGTCCCGCGCCTTTGCGTGGTACTTTGCGTAGCAGTGCTACCATACGTTGTTGGAGGTACCGTGGTCTCACCCGTTGTACGACGTGTCGATGATGTAGCTGTAAATACTGTTGTTTCATCAGCGGTACCAGTGGCTTCGTTTGCGATTGTCGCTGCAGTGGTTTCCCCTGTCGAGCCTTTTGTGTATTTTGTGTTTGTCGCTGTAGGTACCATGGTGGTCTTCTGTGTAGCAGTCCTACCAGTTGCTGTGTTGATGGTAGTTTCCTCTGTGTTTAGTGTAGTAGCTGGTGGCGTTGTGGTTTCGTCCGCAGTACCTAGGTCAAGCGATGTAGTATGAACCACTGTTGTTTCCATTGTTGTAGTTTTCCTTGTTGTGTCAGATTGAGTGGTTGTAGCTGGCGATAAAGTCGTTGTCTCGGCCGCACCTTGTGGACTTGTGGCGGTTGGTTGAGGAGTGGATGTCCGTACAGTTGTTCCTTGGCTTGTTGACTGACTAGTAGGCGATGTAAACGTTGTGAGAGACCTTTGAGTTGTTTCTTCGGTTGTTTCTCTCTTTCCTAACGTAGTAGGCCCAGATGTAGCCGAATAGCTAGTTGGAACCTCTGCAGTTGATATATCCGTTGTAATGCCATGCGTTGTGTCGGTAGAAACGTTTGTTGTAGCGGTTGTAGACGTTGGTGGTCCTGTCGTTCGGTCTGTTGCGGTAGACGTTGCAACGTACGTTGTATCGACTGTTGTCACGGAAACATCTGTAGATGACGTTTCATCTGTTACGTCAGTAGATGATGACGACATGCTTTCAGACGTTGTCTTCTGAATTGAAGCTCCTCCACCCGTCGCATGGAGCGTGGTAGTATCAGTTGCCGTAGTATCAGTAGTATCAGTACTGAAACCAGACAAGGCCTCGGTTGTAGTTCGTATCGTAAAAGAATCTACGGTTGTAACTTTGGTACCAACAGATGATGATTCGGTTGTATCGGTAGATCTTTCAGCAGCTGTGGTTGGTGGAGACGTTGTTACGTCACTGGAAAGAGCCCCGGATGTACTAGTACTCAAACCAGTCGACAAGGCCTCGGTTGTAGTTCCTACAGTAAAAGAAGCTATCGTTGTAACTTCAGTACCAACAGACGATAATTCGATTGCATCAGTAGATATTTCAACAGCTATGGTTGGTCGTGCTGTTGTTACGTCACTGGACGGTACCCCGGATGTACGTAAACCAGTTGAGGAGGCCTCGGTTGTAGTTCGTACCGTAACAGACTTTTCCGTCGTTACTTCGGTCCCGACGGACGATAATTCGGTTGTATCGGTAGATTTCTCAGCAACTGTGGTTGGTGAAGACGTTGTTACGTCACTTGAAAAAGCCCTGGATGTACTCAGACCAGTCGACAAGGCCTCTGTTGTAGTTCCTATAGTAAAAGAAGCTACCGTTGTAACTTCGGTACCAACAGACGACAAGTCGGTTGTATCGGTAGATCTCTCAGAAGCTGTGGTTGGTGAAGACGTTGTTACGTCACTTGAAAAAGCCCTAGATGTACTCAAACCAGTCGGCAAGGCCTCGGTTGTAGTTCCTACAGTAAAAGAAGCTACCGTTGTAACTTCGGTACCAACAGACGACAAGTCGGTTGTATCGGTAGATCTTTCAGAAGCTGTGGTGGGTGAAGACGTTGTTACGTCACTTGAAAAATCCCTGGATGTACTCAAACCAGTCGACAAGGCCTCGGTTGTAGTTCCTACAGTAAAAGAAGCTACCGTTGTAGCCTCGGTACCAACAGACGACAAGTCGGTTGTATCGGTAGATCTCTCAGCAGTTGTGGTGGGTGGAGACGTCGACGTTGTTACGTCACTGGAAAGAGCCCCGAATGTACTAGTACTTAAACCAGTAGACAAGGCCTCGGTTGTAGTTCCTATCGTAAAAGAATCTACCGTTGTAAATTCGGTACCGACGGAAAACATTTCGGTTGTATCGGTGGATTCTTCAACAGCCGTGGTCATGTTCGTTGCCATTTCCGTGTTGGTCACAGGGGCGGTTGGGCTGACACCACAGCCACTAACTGGACACCTGTTCACATTTGGAATGAAAGAAATGAAGTCGTCATCAATGTGTGCCAACAAGAGGACTAGCTGAGGCCCAATCCTGTCGAATTCATAATGCAATACCATATGTACGATATTGGTAGAAAAAGCTAGTGGAAATATTAGAAACATTACGAAGGTTACTAAAGCTTGATAAACAAAGTTAAGAAATTAGGCACAAACAACTTACAAAACGAAGGAGCTGGTATCTAGCCCCAGTGGATTCTCAGTGTCGTTGGCAACGGCCTGCTTCAATGTGTTCACCACGCTGGCGGCGTCTACCGAGGTGTTCTGTTGGAAGTTGGCGTTCACGGTGGCCACGACACTGCCTGGCCGGAAACTGCTGACCGTGACGCTGAGAAGGCCGCTGGTCGAGCTCGACAGGTACACGAATATCTACATGCAAACAATGCTATATTTTTTAACAAAGGAAGTTAATTTGACGTCTTCAACAGTTACATTCCATGAATTTAGAAAATCCATTGAGTCTTAGGCTGTCTTCGTCGTCCATCAGTCAGAAATAGAAAAGTTTGATGGCTACGTCAAGAATACAAGAACACAATGTAATCAAATTCAAAAGGCAATGCCATTGTAAGAGTACGTTGACATCAACATTCAAAACAATGCGATTCTTAACAAAGATAAAAAGCAGCCATGGGTCATTTTTCTATCAGCCTCACCTTGCTGGAGACCGTGCGTGCCAGAGTTCTGAACGCCTGTGAGCTGGAGTCAGCCAGGTCTGCCGTGTAGCTGATGTTCATGGTCATCTCCAGGATTACCTGTTCAGCAGCTGTTAGAAACAAAGAATGCCTGTGAAGATCGCCTTCTCCATAAAAACACTGTAATGGCTGCAATGAATACTTCATTATGAACTGATATTCAAGATCACTGACGATCATCGAAACGTTTCACCAACGTATTCACCAACCTGATGAAATAATTTATGGATTCATTATCAATTGTAGTCAATGAATAGAGCTAGATGTTTCGCAAATTATTTCCATACAATGTTTTAACTGGGACACTTAAGAAAGTATGGCCTGAACTCTTACCCAGGGTACAGATGGTGCCGTTCCCTTGATATCCAGAGCTACAAACACACGTGTGACCAGACTGCCGTGTGACACATGTGGCGTACAGGTGACAGGGCGTGGCGCATGACGTACTGGGTGTCGTGACTTGTGAGGGAGTAGTCATCTGAGTTGCAGTTCCTCCATCCATCGCATGGAGCGTTGTATCAGTATCGGTAGTATCGGTTACATCGGTAGATTCTTCAATGGCTGTGGTTGGTGGAGGCGTTGTTACGTCACCGGACAGTACCCCGGATGTACTCCAAGCAGTGGAAAAGGCCTCGGGTGTAGTTTCTTGTGTGGAGAGTTGGGTAGATTTTCCAGCTGCATTAGTCACAAGGGTAAAGTGTGCTAAGAGTGTATTTTACACACGAGATTCAATTTGATGGTTACGATGACAAAAATGCTTCTGTTAGCCCCCCCCCCCTCCCCCCTTTAGATAGGCCTGTTAAATGGAGGTCCCATGTTTGGGGAGAGCCACACCCCACGCGCGTTTAATAACCCACCATACATTTAGAAAGGAGTAGGGGTGGGATCATTCTCGGTGTGAGAGGTTCAAACCTTAATTACAGTCTTATGGCCACACCTGGAATACTTATTAAGGCTCACTTGAGTTAGCGTCAAACGGCAACCACTTCAGCCCCACCAGACTCTAGCGATTCAGCCCCACCGGTTGTTACCTCCCCACAATGCAATTCAGCCCTTGGCTGCAAGGAGGAAGTAGCCAGCTCTCCCAATAGCATATGTCACAAGTGCCGACACCATTAAGAAATGTGAAATAAGATTTTGTACAGTCTAGGAAATGTTTTAGAACAAGGGCACAGGAAGCCAACTACAGTCCTCAAGTCCCATTGGACACAGTCGGTTTGCCAATTGCTTACTAGTTTTAATTCTCCGATACTGTGAAGTGCAGGTATGCAGAAGAACGTACTTCGAGCCCTGGTTAAGTTGTCTGCAGAACCCTTAAGGCGATGTTGTATACGTATTAAGGCCACACTGATTTATGGATGACATCCTCTGGGGACCACAAAACTAATGCGAGAGGGCGAAAAAAAAATCCAGCCAAAAAAAAATGCTGCTTAACCACAGGAATACAAAGCCGATATTGCGGATTGAACCACAGGACACAGTGACTGCATCAAACAAACAAGTTTTTATTTGCAGGAGATAGATGTAGATAGTCTTATTCTGGTCTCATCCTCCTTCGCAGCTTCCTACTTTGCAGCTTCCTCCTTCGCAGTTTTTTCTCCCTACAGAAAAACGTAAAAGGCATTGCTTTACCTACATTGTAGGTAGATATATACATTATATATACAGTATATAGTTTATACTTTATACCCTGTAGAAGTGCATATGACAAGGGGATTGAATAGATGTGGATTTTATTTCAGATAAAAGTTTGAGATCAATATTTTGGGCAAAATGTAAAAGGTAGAGCAGAAACAGTATCCACCTGTTTAGTTGTCCATCTTCTTCCTCTCTAGATCTTTTCCTCTTCAGCTTTCTCTTCACTCTTGTAAGCTCTCCAACACCAGCTTTGCACACCTACAGAAAAAGGACATGGTATGCAAAATTGATTTACTTGGAATGTATGTTTCCAAATAAAATTGAAATAAAGTGTATTGTAAGTTACAACATTACTAATGCAGGTGAGAATGAATGTACAATTAAAACATGAGGTACATAATTATATTTAACCTACCTGGCACACTGGGTGAATGCACTAAAACTCTGCAGTTTCTCTGGAGGGATGGGAAGCGTGTCTGTTTCCCCACACTGCCAGCATATACCAGTGGCAGAATGGCCAGTGCCCTAGACTTGACTTGCGCAGAATAGTAATATACCTGGTGCACTACATGAAAGAGCCCTGCACAAAACGGATGTAAAACAGAGAAATAAAAAAGCATTTTCCAAAGAGGAAATTTTGTGAAAATTTGCGAGAGCTCAATATTTAAAAAAAAAACATAAACAGAACAGAAACAGAAAATCAACAAAAACTTGCATGAAGAAATGCATTTTGTTGGAAATTTGCCATATGATTACAACATCATAATCTACATAAAACTACTGTAAATCATTGACAACTTTATTTTGTATCATAACACGTGTACGCGCCCCTCCCCATAAATTTTGCTGCGTTCCCAGATTCTGGATCGAAATCAGAAAAACAAAACAAACAAAAAAATAACTGAACTATTCTTACCTCCAAAGCTCACTTCTGCTGACAATCTTCGGCTTTAGTTGTTGCAGTTTTGTCAACAACAATACGGACAAAACAGCCGAACTGAGAAGTGTCCTGACCCACTTTAAGGCCACCACAACTCCTCTCCCATTATTTCTCTCATCGTTGCAAATCTATAGAAACGCGTGGTGGCCGCTCTGGAAAGGACGTCTGTCCGGGCGATACTCGCTGGCTACCACGAGTCGCTCGTAAAGCTGAGCAAACGTTACATCCCCCTCGCCAATGTCGATGGCATACCAGTCGACAACAACGCCTCCAGTTGTCCTCTGCACTTTGACGTAATTTTTGAGGACGCTGTCGCCATCTTGCAAACTTCGTGATCTATATTGTTATTGTAGCTAGTACGCATGTGCAAAAGGTTGATTTATGACAAAATTGATGTTTTGCGGTAGTACAAAAGAAGTTTTACGATAAGCCGCCCTTTTGCGGCATCCATGAGTCGGCAGTCTGTACCGAGTTCCAGCCGAGTTCCGGAGTTCCGTGAAGCCTCAAAAGACATGATTTTTTTTTAGAACAAGCGAAAATCAATGCGCGCGCGGATGTCATCCAAAAATTCAAATCGGTGTGGCCTAACGTCACAACAATCTCAACGAAGGAAGAAATGCGGGGCTGGTCCTAGATATGTTATAAGAAGTCCGAGTTTTTTTTAACCTTTTAAAACGATGAACACTTATCACAATCAATCATTATAAAACAAGTTCTATGTGATGTATAGTTAACCAGATTGAGTTAGAATCTTAAACTTGCTTTTCGATTTTTTTTTAATCCATTTCCGCGTATGCCGGGTCACACGTCCACATACAAACACAAAACATTAAAAAAAGTTTATGACATACAAAATAAAGGGGTTATCTCATTAACACCTTATTAACACCAATTCTTAGTTAATCGGGTCTTGAAATAAGTTATTTTCAGTTCATATCTCGTGTACTTCAAATATCTTCATGTGAAACTAGGTCACTGCCCTTTCTGAAAAGACAAACAACAAAATCTAACCTGTTGCGTCTGTAGAGTAGAGTCCTAAAGTCCATTGTATCGTCAACAGAGCCAAAACGCACCGCGGATGTACCTTGGAAAACATCCTCCAAGACTAAACCGTTCTCAAGTTGTACAGTGGGGGAATATCATGTTGGGTGTATCCCTAAGTGTGCAATTAAGTGAAAGTGGGTTAGCAGGTCGATGTGACCTATGACCTGTGATATTCGTCATGTTTTGTTTCGTTCCGAGGTTAGGAGTCCGATACATCACCATGTGAATGAAAACCAAGTAGATGTCAGGAGGGAAAGACTGGCCGAATGAAACAAAAAGGACGAAATTCTCTACCGAACGTAACTTCTAATAAGCTATTAGAATATCTCTTCTCCGTTAGAAAGAGCTCATGATACGTTGCAACTGTATATACAAAAATCCAGTTTTATTTGCACTTAAAGTCACCAAGGGGACCAATTATTATGTTTACCGAAGGGAAACATATTGTTTTTGCTACGTTTCTTCTTCTTCTTCAGTTCCAAACACTGACTTTTGACCAATGATCAAACTGTTTTGCCGGCGGACTTTTAGAAGAAATCTATCAGCAGATGATGCAATCTTCATCACACCTTACAGTTAATACAGGTTGGATCAGGTAAAACCGGTATTTCCCAATACGTCTGTCGGGAAAGTTCTTTAAACGTCAGAGTTAGTTGAGCAGCTCAATCAGTGAAACGTAGGTGATTCTAAATCTATCAGAATTGGTTACACATGCAATAACTAACTATGTAACCATGCAGTGTCTACACAACTGTGATGGCAGTTTGGGACAGTATCATTGTTAACTTGATACTTCGACAAAGCATACCCCCCTCCCCTTTTATCAACTGACCTTTCCCCGTAAGCAGGTGGAAAAGCAAGATAGTGGGTCAGAGGGCATGCCTCAAACGACCTGAGTAGTCCTGAAAAACACATCTGCATTTAGTGACTCACGATAAATACTTTAGGAACAGCTTCAGTGTAATTTTGGAGAATGCTTTGCAAGCGACATCAGACTCTCAGCGACATCCGACTCTCAGTTGCAAAACAAACATTTTCAGATCCAGTTACTTCCCAAGAACTATCATAGAATGGAACGCACTACCGGAACACGTAGTGACTATCTGTCGACACATTCAAGACGGGGTTGGCCCTGCACCTGGGCCACCCCGTCTCACAGATGTAAGTCGGGTATTGCTAGTTGCGGCCAGTCACAAAATGCACAAATTTTTGTTCGGTTTTGTTTTGTTTTCATACACTTTTCTTCACCGCACCCCACCGGCCGCAATAGCCGTGCACCCTGAGCGGGATGCCCTAGATAGGGCTTTGCTCAGTATTATATAGAATAGAATAGAATAGAATAGAATAGAATAGAATAGAATAGAATAGAATAGAATAGAATAGAATAGAATAGAATAGAATAGGATAGAATAGAATAGAATAGAATAGAATAGAATAGAATAGAATAGAAGTTTTCTACTCTTAATGACGATACATATAGAATACAACACGGGGTATTCCGTATCGCCCGAGGTATCGGCCCGACCGCGGGTCGGATCGCCCGACGGCCGCAGGCCGGAGGGCGATCCGACTCGCGGGAGGGCCGGGACCGAGGGCGATGCGGAATATACCGTGTTGTATTTTATTTATATCATACCCACCCAAGAAAACGCGCCTTTCAATGCAAGATGAGCCAAAAGTTGGTGCCCCTAAACCCTCAAATGCAACAACATCAGTTCCAACGTCCGGATTCTGTATTCGAATTTTCGAAAGGAGCGCACGCGGTTAGGACGAAACGCGTTCGAATCGTTTTATGGAAGCCATGGAAGCGTTCGATAACGGGTTCCGGACCGGGCCGTACCGTAACGTACGGCCCGGTCCGGAACCCGTTATCGAACGTTATCGCGGCCCGGGTATGATATAAAATGAATTATACCAGTTCGTTCTAAAAACACAACAGATCGGTACTTTGTGTTTGTTTTTTGTTCAGACGACACATTGGGATGTTTACTTACACGCGACTTTAAAAGGCATCCAATTTCAGGGCGACAGCTTTGGGACGTGAGCGAGAGGATGACGGGATTGTCTTCTTCATAAACCATAATCACAACTACGGGATGACGTGTTTCTTAGAGCAGACCTTGTCCGATTTCCTTTGGCAACTTTGCCTTTTTTCTCTACTTCTCATTCATTTATGTGATAAGGTCAGGAAACACCAGGAGTCCTAGACTGGTCTGATGCACAGAACGGGTTTAACAACAGGCCTTATCCCTGTATGTTGCGAATGCACATTACTTGCCACCCAACACAGAATACACAACGACAGAACCATTGAATATGATACTCAGCACAAAACACAGAATGGTTGTATAGACTTTCAAAGCCTATAATATAACGAGTGTATAATTTGCTGTACATCATTTTGCTTTTTATGTACTCAACCTACACTAAAGGGTACATAATTGTACATACATTATCAGATTATACAAGTCTCATTATTAAATAATATTTACGTCTGTAATGTTGGCTGAAAAAATTCATAACAAAACATGAAAAATGGTAGAATTATACAGTTTACTTCAACTTTTGTAGCTACCGCAAAAATAAATATCATATGATAATACACCATCTAATATAATTTTTACATCATAATTACATTACGACTTACGTATATGTCATAAATATTTTGCTTATACTCTGACAAAATTAAAACAAATCATAAGTAAGGTACAGGAACGTTAACTAAATACTCGTATTTACGTATCAATTGCCCAAAAATATATGTTTTAGGCACACGTATTAAGAATAGTATGACATGACATTTGGCTGTATACCATAAGAACGTTTGTATCGTGTAACAGGTATATACATTTGGCAATACGGACACCTTGGCGTGTTCTTGCAATATACCGCTCAGAATTAAGGAGTTAAACGTCTGAGAGAGACGAGGGTGTCCTGAAGAAGTTTTGGTAAGTTGACGCCCTTCCCTCAGTATCAGGGTTAGGTCGTGGTCTCATCCATCTTAACTGGAATTTAAAAAAGAATCAGATACTAGTAAAGCGTCAAATATTCTGATATTCTGCGTAACTTTCTACAATGCTGCCATATTCATGATTTCTCTCAATGGATTGAAATAAAACAACAGTATTCCCGAAAGTAGTATAATACAGCTCCGCTATATAGCACCCGTACGGAGCCGGAATCGATACATACAAACTCAAAGTGAAACAGGACCACCCAAATCAATATTTCCGTCCCAGAAGTATCATTGTTTTGTTAGTTACCTGCACGTTTCTGGCGAAGACGTCGCTGTAAAGTGCCTGTGCGGAGCCGGCATGAGACACATACAGACTCCCATTGAAACAGAGCCACCCGAAACGGAAGTATTTTCTTAGTTACCTGTACGTTTCTGGCGAAGACCTCGCTGTATAGCGCCCGTACGGAGCCTGCCTGTGTGGCTTGGAAGCCGGACATGGTCGGGCGGGACGGGAAGTACCGCTTGATGTACATGCCGCCCGTCGGCAGGACGTACACGTCATCAGGGCTGCTGGAGGAGGAGGCGTAGGAACCGCGCCGACTGGGGAACAGGGACAGGGAAATCAGACATTGAACATTTCACGTCCGGCTTCATGGTAAGCGCCCTTTGGCGGAACACATAGAAACACATATACAGGCAAACACAGTCATACATACACATACACACTTAGGCATACACACAAACACATACATACACGTAACACACATACAGACGTAAATACACATACGCTCAAACACATAATCTTGATAATGGTAAGTCGACGAAAGCACCCTACATTTAGAGAAAACTTCCGTACTTCATTGCTATTAAATCAAATTCTTCCCTAAAACATCGTCATAGGTTTGGCCTACATCATAGCTACCATAGTGGTAGTACCTTATTCTTGGGATGTAGTTATGAGCCTCTGTCTTGTAGACGGACCACTTGAGTCTGGAGCTCCGTTTGGAGGACTCCTCTAACGACCCTTTACAGACGACAGTCAGAAGGATCGCCACTAAGAATCCCCCCATGGCCGCCAACAGTTTCACAACAACGGAGAGTTCGTAGTCCACCTGTCCGCAAATCTGGTCTTCGGACTCTTTTTGACACCTGTAGGAGACGAAAAGAACTCCAGGTCAATGTAAACATGATACGAAATATACTTATGAAGGATCGGCGTATTCACAAACTCATTTCCAAGTGGCACAGCAATAATAACACGATTAAAAATGAATAAATCCTGCAATGGATATACATTTGACATTTGTCTCTTAAAACATTTTGACCACTGATCATACTTTGTACCTTACTACGTCTATCGCTAGGGCTTGCAACTTACTGGCACTATAGGCAAAACAGATAGCTTAAAAAACAGGTGACAAGCTGTAAAGTGCCTTTCAATGGGGTCTGCTAGGGATTCGAAACCAGCCCCTTCGGATTCTAAGTGAAAAACCCTTACCACAAGACCACCTTGCCACCTATAGAATATTGAAAAAAGTAAGCAAAGCATGAAACACAGAACTCACAGTGACGCCCGTTCTATCCCCAGACTGTCGTTGTTAGTGGAGTCGTTCCTGATGGCTGTCCGCAGGGCCGTGGCGATGTCGGTGCCGTTGACGTCATCAGCGGCGCTGGAGTTGACGTTGACGTTGTAGTCGGCGATGACGCTGCCGGGACGGAACCTCGTGATGGTCACGCCCAGGATGACGTCAGCGAGGGTGCTCTGTTTCAGGTAGGTGTAAATCTGGAGGCAAACAAAAATGTCATCTTTTTTTCATCACCATTTATTTAACGGCCTAAAATCTTGGGTTTAAAGACATCCAATACAGTTTCAGGGTGCCAAAACAAAACATATTCTGGATCATATTCATTACCCTGTATAAAAAATGACGGAAATAGATGGGGAAATCTGTCTGATATTGACATTTACCGCCTTTTCGTAGCACATTTTCGTCGTCATTTCATACTTGAAGCATTTGAAATAACTCAGAAACAAGCTATGTGAGGAGTCCAATACATAGCTATATGCTAGAACCAGCCTAGTATATGTTCCACAAGAAATTTGCACAAAATGAGAGAATATTCTAACATATCCAATACACAGACAGTATGCAAGAATTTACAATTGAACACAGCAAAAAGTCATTTGATGAATACTAAGTACTTTCAATCTGAAAACAACTCACCACCGTGGTGACCCTGTAGGCCAGGGACCTGAACGCTAAGGAATCTCTGTTGTTGAGGTCTTCTGTGAAGTTTACTTTGACCATGCGCACTTCAAAGTGATAAGGTGTGGACACTGAGAAGAGAAGAAAGTGTTATTATATATAGTAAGGACGTAATTATAAGGACACACGGCTTAAGCTTAAATACAACAAAGACAGAAAATGGACATTTGAGTTGGAGAGCAGTAAACAATCTCACCTAGTGTACAGGTACGGCCGTTCCCCACGTAGCCGTCGTTACAGACGCACTGGAACACCTGAGAGCTCCTCTGGACGCAGGTGGCGTATATGCTGCAGGTAACCGTGCAGGAAGGGAAGGCGGTTACAGGCTGTGCCGTGGTGTTGTACACCGGTGCTACCGAAGTACTGCTCTGCACGGTGCCCGTTGTGGCAGCGACAGTCGTGGTCGGTTTGTTTGTTGTTCTTCTGAGGACTGTAGTTGTCGGTTTTAGTGTTGTGCTCCTCACACTACTGCTTAAACTTGTTGTTGATCGTCCTCTGGTTGTTGTGATTTGATTAGTGGAAGTGGAGATGCGAGAAGCTGTGGTAGGTCGGGATGTTCGCTCTCTTGCGGAAGTTGTTAGAACTGATGCTGTTGTATGCGCCCTGCTACTACTAGATAAGACAATCGTCGTTGATCTCGGTTTAACAGTTACTGTTGTTGATGGCGTTTCTTCCCTTGATGTCGATGGAGGGTTTGATGAAGTGCTACCTGTCGATGATGTAAAACTAGAGGTCGCTCTGTCTGTTTGGATGGTAGTGCTTGTTCCGACAGAACGTTTTGTGTTTGTAGTTAAAGCTGTACTGGTTTCTTGTGGTTCTAGACTTGTGGTCATGTCAGTCTGAGAGGTTGAAGTACCAGGAAAGCTTGTCTCTGCTGTTGTTTTGGTCGTAGGTATTCTCGAAACTGACGTAGACGGAAGATCTGTTAGACCTGTTCGTGTATTGGTGGTACGCATAGTGGTCTGCTGCGTTGTCTTGGTATTCGTAGCCTCTGGTGTTGTGATCCGGGTAGTGGGCGTGAAGATATTAGAAGGAAACTCCGTGCTTCGCTCCCCGCTTGGGGTGACTGTTTCACCGGTGCTCTGGGAGAATGCCGTAGTCGGTGCCGTTGTAGTGGTTTCCTCTGTTGACAGTTTCTCGGTTGATGCAGTTTTATCAGTTTTTGTACCGATGGACGAAGTGTAGGTTGTGGCATCAGTTGCAGGGCCAGTTGCTCCGGTAGATGGCGCTGCGGTTTGCTGTGTACTTCCCAACTGTGACGCTGAAGTAGTTGAAATCGTGGTGTCAGGTCCTGTAGTTACGGTACTCTCCGTCCGTGCCGTTACATCTGTCCTGCTCGTAACATCTGTTCTAGCTGAAGTCCTAATCCCTGTGCTTCCTGTTGCTCCGGTAGATGGCGCTCCTGTGGATGTCGTTTCAGTACTCTGGCCTGTCGCCACGGAACTTGAAGGAAATGTTGAGCCAATAAGAACCGCACTACTACTAGTTGCAGGCATTTCGGTGCTGGAACTCACCACTTCCTCGGTCGACATTTCCACAACAGTAGTAAACACAATCACATCAGTTGTAGTTTCGTCTGGCAAGCTTGCTGAATGTTGAGTAGACGCTGAACTTGTATCTTCCGGGGACGTAGGTCCTTGTGTACCCGTAAAAGGCGCAGACGTATCAGTGGCTGGTGTTATAGTGGATGTTGACGGAGTATTTGCCGTTCCTTTGCTCGAGGCTTCCCCTGATGTAGTTGGTATAGTAACGGCAGTACTAGTCACCACCGTCTGTGTACCTGTAGGTTTGGCCGCGGTACCAGTACTTCTGAAGATGGTAGTGTCCTCGGTAGCAGTACCAAGATCTGTTCCGGTTGAAGGTGGTGTAGTGGATTCTGTTGCACTAGACTGAGTTGAAAGCGTAGTTTCCTTGGATGAACTCGGCGCAGTCGTACTGCCTTTTGACAATGAACTTGTCCCTGATGTTGACAATGAGAGCGTGGTCTCCGTCGTACTTTTTCCCGTGGTAGTTAACCCTGTAGTAGTGTCGGTACCTGTGATAGGGCTACGCGTAGATTGGCCTGTGATACCAGTAGCTGTTGTGGTCGCTTCCTGAGACGTAGCGTCGTCCGCAGTACCAGTTTCAACCGTCACCACGACCTCTGTTGTTTGCACGCCAGTACCACGTTCTGCTGTGACAGTAGACAGAGTTGTGGTCCCTTTTGTGGTATCGGTCCTAGTGGTACTTACTTTTGACGTCGTACTAATATCCGTGGTATCCGTGTAAGCCGTAGTTGTTTCTGACGTTTCAGTTTCAGTAAAAAGAATGGTTGATTCGTCTGTGAAGCTTGCCTGAGAGGCTGCGAAGGTTGACTGTGTTGCGCCGTCTGTCATCGTACCTTGCTCTGGTGTTGTGGTGGTAGGTGCGAACGTTGACGTCTCTGTGGTACCACGTGTAGGTACACTGGTCTGGGATGTGGTACTCCCAGTGCTGCCTTTCACAGTCACAGCAGTCGTGGTTTCTCCCGAGGTACCGAACCCCCTTGTGGAGGTTTGGAGTACCGTGGTTTTCTTCGTGGTACCCTGCTCTGTTGTGGTAGTTGATGTTGGTACCGGTGTTAATGTTGTTTCACCTGTTACAACCACATCTGTCGTGACGAGAGTTGCTGGCATCGAGGTATCTACCGTGGTACCCAGCTTGGCTGTAGACGTCGGAGGTGCTGCTGTGGCGTTTGTAGTACCTAGTTCAATAGTATAAGTTAGGGGCATCGGAGTATCGTCCGTAGTACCTAATTCGGTGGTAGACGTTGAAGAAACTGGGGTTTCCACCGTGGTACCCAGCCCAACTGTAGAGGTCGGAGGCATCAATGTCTCTACCGTGGTACCTACATCCGCTGTAACTGTCGCAGGCATTGGTGTTTTTACCGTGGTACCTAGCTTGGTTGTAGACGTTGGAGGTACCGAGGTCTCTACGGTAGTACCCAGCTCCACTGTTGAAATTATAGGCGTTGCTGTCTCATCCGTGGTATCTAGCTCAACTGTAGAGGTTGGAGGCATTGGTGTCTCCTCAGTAGTATCAAGCTCAACTGTGGAAGTCACAGGGGCCGGTGTCTCTACCGTAGTCCCTCTCTCGGTTGTAGACGTTGTAGGCATGGGTGTTTCTTCGGTGGTACCTAGATCTGTTGTAGACGTTGGTGGCAGTGGCGTCTTCTCCGTGGTACCTAGATCTGTTGTAGAGGTTGGTGGCATTGGCGTCTCGTCCGTGGTACCTAAATCGGTTGTAGAGGTTAGAAGCTCTATAGTGTCTACCGTGGTACCTAGCTTCGTTGTTACTGTTGCTGACATTGGTGTTTCTTTCGTGGTACCTAGCCTCGTTGTTACTGTCGCTGGCATTGATGTTTCGTCCGTGGTACCTAGCCTCGTTGTAACTGTCGCTGGCATTGGTGTTTCCTCCGTGGTACCTCGCTCCGTTGTTGAAGTCAGTGTAGTTTTACCCGTGGTAGCTTGTTGGGTTGCAGCAGTCGGTGGCGTCGAGATTTCATCCGTGGTATCGAATTCAGTTGTGAACATCGAAGTGTCCTGTGGTTCAGATGAAGGCGTTGCTATCGTCGTTTCCTTCGTGGAACTGCCCTCTGCTCTCGTAGTTGGCAGGATCGTTGTTTCTGTTGTGGAAGCGCGCTCGGTCGCAGAGGTTGAAGGGGCCATAGTAGATTCTGTGACATCTCCACCACGAGTAGTTCCCGTTGCAAGTGGCGTGGTTTCTTCTGTACTATCCACGTCATCAGAAGTACTTACAATTATCGTCGTTTCCTCTGTAGTGTCGCGTTCAGATGCGGTGCTGGGAGGCACCGTGGTTTCTTTTGTACTGCCCCTCTTAGTCGATTCCATGGTGGTTTGTGGTAGCGTGGTCTCTACCGTGGTAGTTGGAGGCGCTGTGCTATCAGTCGCGGTACTTCTCTGGCTTGTAGTTGTAGGAGAAAACACCGTACTGCCTGTTACACCAGTTTCGGTTGTAAATTGCAGTATCGTGGTGTCTTCCGTAGTGCCCGGCTCCTCTGTCGATGTCGACGGCATGTCGGTATTCTCCGTGCTTCCCTGCCCTGCGGGTGTAGTTTTCATGGTGGTGGTTTTATCAGTACCCCTACTGTCTTCAGTACTAGATGACAGAAGCGTAGTTTGTTCTGTACCAGTGCGGACGGTGGTCTGTTCTGTCTTACTTGTGGTCAGTGCTGTGGTGATCTCCAATGTTCCCCTGTGTCCAGTGGTAGTAATTGTTGGCATTGTGGTCTCTCCTGTGCTTCCGGTTGTAGTATCTCTCCCAGCACTCGTTGCCATGCTGCCAAACGATGTAACAGTAGTGGGCATTGTCGTTTGCACCGTCGAAGACCTCCCCATGGAGGTAGATGGTGGTACAACTGTGGTCTTTTCCGTAGTGTCTGTCTCACCCTCAGTCGTTTCTTCAGCGATTACCGTTGTCACCTGCAGCAATGTTGTTTCCTCTGAGGTACCGAGTTCTGCAGACGTTGATGGAGCTGCCGTAGTGCTTTCCGTAGTCCCGCGCCTTTCTGTGGTACTCTGTACCGCGGTACCTCCGTACGTTGTTGGAGGTATCGTGGTTCCACCCGTTGTACGACGCGTCGATGATGTAGCTGTAGATACTGTTGTTTCATCTGCGGTACCAGTGGCTTCGTTTGCAATTGTCGCTGCAGTGGTTTCCCCTGTCGAACTTTTCATGTCTGTCGCTGTAGGTACCATGGTGGTTTTCTTTGTACCAGTCCTACCAGTTGCTGTGTTGATAGTAGTTTCCTCTGTGTTGAGTGTAGTAGCTGGTGGCGTTGAGGTTTCGTCCACAGTACCTAGGTCAAGCGATGTAGTAAGAACCACTGTTGTTTCCATCGTTGTAGTTTTCCTTGTTGTACCAGATTGGGTGGTTGTACCCGGTAATAAAGTCGTTGTCTCGGCCGCACCTTGTCTTGTTGTAGCTTCTGTAGTTGTCTCAGTGGAGGTCTGCGACGTAGTTGTTTCCCTTGTGCTTCCGAAGTTTCCAGTTGTTTCGACTTCCATGGTGATGATTTCTGTGGTACCAGGTGCCGCAGTAACTGTTGTTTCTCCAGTCCTCCTTTCTGTAGTAGAACTTCGTCTTTCTGTTGTACCCAAGGTTGTCCCAGTACTTGCTCGCGTAGTCAACGTTGTTTCTTCTGGAGTATTCATAGTCGACGGTGTGCCAATGGTTACCGCAGTAGTTCGATCAGTATTTGTGGTACCGGTCTTTGGCATAGTAGTCATCGTTGTTTCTTCTGGTGTATTCATAGTCGACGATGTGCCAATGGTTACCGCAGTAGTTTGATCAGTATTTGTGGTGTCGGTCTTTGGTATTGTAGTCATGTCAGTAGGACCTTTACTCGACTGTTCTGTTGTAGATTGTCGACGTGTAGTTTCTTCCGTGGTGGTCATTTCAAAAGTGACGACACTTGTCTGCGTTCCACTGGTCTCTTCCGTTGTAGTTATTTCTGAAGTCGCTGTGTGGCGCTGTGTGGCTGCTGTAGCAGTACCTATGGTTTGAGTTGTGTCCGTTGATGCCGTGGTAGTACTGGATGGTACCGTGCTTCCCTCGTCTGTTGTACCTCGCGTTGAAGGCATCATGGTGCTGCTACCGGTCGTTCCTAGCGTGGTTTCTGTCGGTGTTGTCCTCCCAGTCTGCTCAGTTGAAGATGGCGTTGTCGGCTGTGTCTCTTCTGAACAAACAAAAAAATAAACAAGAAATCCGAGATGTCAGACTCCCGGGAAGTATTTTGAGCTTTTGTGACCTTCAAGTTTACATAATTTCCTGCCTAACCTTTCGAGGTCCTGTTATTTTGCCCTTCCCCGCCCAAGCACTGTCAACATACACTCCCAGTTAGCCCCCATTGCCTGTGTCAAATCTACCGACGCCCATTCTGTCTGTCAATCTTCCCCACCCACGACATTATAGGTTACAACATGACATGGCCAGATTTGCAAACATCTTCCTTACCTGACGTTTCTGTCACAATGTCGGTAGTGAACACCCCTGAAGTTGTTTGTTTCGTCGTCCCCGCTGTAGACTGTGCTGCTGACGTCATCACTGTCCCCGACGTCGTCGATTCCGGTGTACCTGACTGTGACGTAGCAGACTGTGCTGCCGACGTCATCACTGTCCCTGACGTCGTCAATTCCGGTGTACCTGACTGTGACGTAGAAGACTGTGCTGCCGACGTCATCACTGTCCCTGACGTCGTCGATTCCAGTGTACCTGACTGTGACGTAGTACGCATTGTTGTCGACGTCTCCTCAGTAACTGGTGCTGTAGAGACACTTGCTGTGGATGCCGTCGTGCCTACTTCTGAGCCAGTTGTAACCTCTTCTGTTGAAACGTCCGTCGTAACTTGTGGACTTGTGGCGGTTGGTTGAGGAGTGGATGTCTGAGCAGTTGTTCTTTCGGTTATTGACTGACTAGTAGGAGATGTAAACGTTGTGAGAGACCTTTGAGTTGTTTCTTCGGTTGTTTCTCTCTTTCCTAACGTAGTAGGCCCAGGTGTAGCCGAATAACTAGTTGTAACCTCTGCGGTTGATATATCCGTTGTAATGCCATGCGTTGTGTCGGTAGAAACTTTTGTTGTAGCTTCCGACACCAAGGCAGTTGTAGACGTTGGTGGTCCTGTCGTTCGGTCTGTTGCGGTTTTTGCTGTGTTAAGAGCTGTAGACGTTGCAACGTACGTTGTATCGACGGTTGTCATAGAAACATCTGTCGAAGACGTTTCATCTGTGGCGTCAGTAGATGATGACGACGTGCTTTCAGGCGTTGTCTTCTGAGTCGCAGTTCCTCCTTCCGTCGCATGGAGCGTGGTAGTATCAGTTGCCGTAGTATCGGTAGCATCAGTACTGAAACCAGTCGACAAGGCCTCGGTTGTAGTTCGTAACGTAAAAGAACCTACGGTTGTAACTTCAGTACCAACAGACGATGATTCGGTTGTATCGGTAGATCTCTCAGCAGCTGTGGTTGGTGGAGGCGTTGTTGCGTCACTGGAAAGAGCCCTGGATGTACTAGTACTCAAACCAGTCGACAAGGCGTCGGTTGTAGTTCCTACAGTAAAAGAATCCACGGTTGTAACTTCGGTACCAACAGACGATGATTCGGTTGTATCGGTAGATCTCTCAGCAACTGTGGTTGGTGGAGGCGTTGTTACGTCACTGGACAGTACCCCGGATGTACTCAAACCGGTTGAGGAGGCCTCGGTTGTTGTTCTTACCGTAAAAGAATCTACGGTTGTAACTTCAGTACCAACAGACGACAAGTCGGTTGTATCGGTAGATATTTCAACTGGTGTGGTTGGTGGAGGCGTTGTTACGTCACTGGACATTATCCCGGATGTACTCAAACCGGTTGAGGAGGCCTCGGTTGTTGTTCTTACCGTAAAAGAATCTGCTGTTGTAACTTCGGTACCAACAGACGACAAGTAGGTTGTATCGGTAGATCTCTCAGCAACTGTGGTTGGTGGAGGCGTTGTTACGTCACTGGACAGTACCCCGGATGTACTCAAACCGGTTGAGGAGGCCTCGGTTGTTGTTCTTACCGTAAAAGAATCTGCTGTTGTAACTTCGGTACCAACAGACGACAAGTAGGTTGTATCGGTAGATCTCTCAGCAACTGTGGTTGGTGGAGGCGTTGTTACGTCACTGGACGGTACCCCTGATGTACTCAAACCAGTTGAGGAGGCCTCGGTTGTAGTTCGTACCGTAACAGAATCTTCGGTCGTTACTTCGGTCCCGAAAGACGATAATTCGGTTGCATCAGTAGATATTTCGACAGCTGTGGTTGGTGGAGGCGTCGTTACGTCACTAGACAGTATCCCGGATGTAGTTTGCACCCCAGTCATCTGCGCTTGCGTAGAGCCTGAAACACTCGAAGGAGCATCTGTGATGTCAGTTGTTCTTTCAACTGTACTGATGACCTCTGTGCTTCCCTCAGTGGTTGCTATGCTGTTCGTTTCTATGGTAACGGTTGGATTCTCGGACCCTGTACTTGTTTCGGATGTCGCAATGGATGACGGGAAGGTCGTCATCGACGTCATCACCCCTGCTGTGGCCGCCATTGTAGTTTCTCTCTCCGTTGTCAGCTGCTGGCCGGTAGTACCTGTTCTTAACTCTGTGACGTACGTAGTGGATGCCACCTCCGTGCCTTCGGCTGACGTAGTTTCCGACAACTCAGTTCTCGCGTCTGTTGTGGTCAACGTGTCAGACGTTCTATCCAGCTCAGCTGTCGAAATTATATTTGTTGTCAAAATTGTTGAACTTTCCGTGACATCCCCTGTGGTGGTCTGTATCGTGGATTCAGTCTGGGCTTCTCTTGTCGACATATTTTCGGTCGTAGTTTCCCCTCCTGGTGAGGAAGTTGGAGGAAACGTAGTGATTTTTGTGGAGAATTCTGTGGAATTTTCAGCTGTGCCAGTGACCTGGGTAACAGTGGATGCTGTACCAAGTGTGCGAGTATCTGTTGAAGCGTCCACGTCCGTTGTTGTAGCAGGGGGCGTTGTTGGTATCGGCGTTGTAGTACCATTATCATTAGATGTTGTATCCCCATTTGCGATGGTATTTGTAATGTCTGTTGTAGTGAACTGGGTAGCTGTAGTCAGTGTTCGAGTATCCGTAGAGGCGTCCATTGCTGTTGATGTACCAGGCGCCGATGTTGGTACTGTTGCTGCAGTACTTTGGTCTGGTGTTGTACCTCCAGTCGCCGTGGTACCTGTGACGTCGGTGGTACTCGGAGGTGGTGTGGTACCCATAGCTATGAATAGAACAATACAGATGTTGCTTTAGATGGAAGCATATACGTGAGAGAATTCACATTTGAAATATGTTGGCAAGGAAGCGAAAAAGCATTGACGTGGGATAGAATAGCTGAAGAAGTTGAGAAGGCAGTTTAAATGTATTTGCCAATCGGGGGACTTACTGATAAAGTGGCCTCTATTGAAGTTTTTAGGAACTGCATCCTATATGTATATGTTGATGAGATACAAGTAGAAGGAACTCCGGCAGTGTTTGGAGGCCATAATCAGCTATGTGTATGACAGGGGCTTAAGACTACAGCACACGTCTACATATTATCAATAATATGAATCAGCTGCATGCCGGTGTATCCCGGACACAAATCCCTCGTGCCGACGCCAGGAAGATTACTGCTAGCGTGACAACGTTTGGCTGGAAAAACAGTCTCCGTGGGTTACTTATAGAACATGTTTTGATACAGCTTGAAATACAATGGCGTCATCTCTTAAAGCTGCATTGTGGCGAGCAGTTCTTATATTAGGCTCAAAGCAAACATAATTTACTTTGAGTCAATCAATAGTCACTGTTGGCCCTGCACTGCATAGTATAACAAATAAGCCCTCTCAGACAATATAACGAATCAGCCCCTCCCTAAATTATAGGCGTCTTTTGTGATAAAGAATTTTGGACAACTTTGCTTAAGGCAGATACTGAGTCACAGAATGAAAGGAAACCAAGCGGAAAATTACCACACCTGACTCAGTTTTGTTGTTCTTTTTACACTGATCCACAACTAAAATGTTATTCTGTGTTAGCTATCAAATCTCTAGAACCAACGACAACTAGACGCTGCATGAGCCACGTATTAGGAGGAAAGAAAAAGACGAAGGAAAACATAATATGACAGATTTTGTACATCGAGGGAAAAGTATGTGTTGAATAGTTTTGTTGTAGCTATCACGTTTTGAGTACTTGACAATATGTGGGAGTTTACAGAAGGTAGACAGGAAGTCTTTTCGTGCACAGAGAGTGCTGGAAAATTTACAGTGTGTCCTAGAAGCTTAGACAGTTTGAATGACATCCGATAGCAGTTGATACTTTGATCGATACAACAGACCACAATTTGTTACCGATTACGGGCCATTATGTCGTCTGCTCTTAGATCTCACGCACTCGTAAACGACATACAAGGACAGAAAGAGGTAGGTTGGAAGAAACGAATCCGTACGTAATGTTGGTGAAGATTACTCATCCAGGGTACGTAGTAACAGTAAGAAAGTAATTTAGTATTTTCCAACTGGATAGGTTTTAATCAGCAAACGTTTCGGGTGCTGTTCCGACACCCTTCATCAATGAATGTTTACAAAGGAATTTTTGGAATGAGAAACAAAGTTCCGATTCCGTCCGTTGTGTGTCAAAACTCTGAGTTTGGAATAAAGACTACCAGCACTGTAATTACTATGTCGCTTTGGCTGTAACAAATGTTCCACCCTCTGTTTGTAAAAGCCACTTTAGTTGGTATATATAATCAGTAAACCGCCTTTAGGCGTAACGCACCAGTTCTGTACAGTAAGTACAAGCTGGGTAAGACCAGACTGTATGGTTTGATCCACTCACCCTGGGATGTACCCCTTAGGCACTTACAGGTGAAAGTGATAGTACCTAGCTTCGATTTGGAACGTACGTACTTTCGGATGATTCTGTTTTTTTAAGAGTTACGGGCCCTGACCTGAAAGGTGCCTTTCCCAAGGCCACAACATTGGAGTCTCCCGGGGATTGAAACCCATAGCTTTTGAGATTCTAACCACCAACTTTCATCGAGTGAATTAGGGCGGAACAACAATTAACTCGCGTATTCTTTCTCCGGCTTGAAAGTGGTCTGTCCAGTTTTAGACTGTTTCGCAAACATAGGTCGGGTGGATTGACATAGATTATCCTCAGCTTTAAGCAATTTGAGCCTTGGTTTTAGTGCTCTCTAATGTCGCAGATAGTGAAAATTTTTTTAAATGAATGTTGTGCGAAGTACCACTACAAAACGAAATATTCATCAAATCTTGGAATGTACTGTAGAAAACGTCTCTTCTTCGCTAGCTCTGAAGAAAACTATGTTTCCCGTCTATTTCACAGACAAACACACACAATTAGGGTAGTCAGCTCACCGTCACGAATATAGGACTATGCATATAGGCATCTGTTATTCAGAGTGAATGCAGCAATAAATTCTCTATTTACGTCATGGGATAAAAAAGACGTCACAGATGAACACATATCACTGTCATTAACCTTATATACGGATAGATTTCTTTATCACCGTTGAAGAACGTTAGAGATGATATTTTGATGTACCGCTTTTACAATTTCTTATCTATGCGCACATCTTGCCTCAAGAAAAAATTTTGGAATCGAAGAGCCCTAATACCTCCTTCACACGAGAGCAGAATGAACTGGAATGCCGTCTCAATGAAAATTCTTTGTGTATCCCTAGATATTTGTAGTAGCTCTTGTTTTCTGTGGAAGGGAATGAATATGGTTTAATCCCACTATAGCGTGCAGCTCTAGATGGCATGATATAATGGCGCTATCTCACAATTTTAGCATAAACTTTACTTCTTCGGTCTCAAGAGTATGTTTTTAGTGAGTTCCGTTGTGAATTATTCTTGAAACGGATGTATTTCAAGTTATATTTCCGCTAATATATGTGTTTTAATGTGCCCTAATAGCTGCAGCAGTGACGCCAAAGCGGAAAGACAAAGGAACATGAATGCGATGATCCATGGATGTACTGACACAAAGGCTCCATGTCAGCGTGAATTACACATCTCTCTTCTGTTTAACTACGCGAACAAAAGACATCTACGTTAAACACGAGACATGATTGATCGTGAAGGCGATCTGTTATGTTTCTCTGATGTCCCTGACACTGTCATAACATCACGTTACGTTCAACATCTTAGAAATGATATTTCTATGAGACATGTTTGACGTTATGAACAACTATTAAACTGTAACGTCCAATGCAATTTTCAGGATGGCAATACCAAAATATTCTGGATGAGGAAGTCTGTCTGATATTGACATTTACTTGATGAGAGACAGTAACGTTACCTGAGTAATACAAGCTACATATTGCACAATGCTTGTATAAGGTACAACGAATGGCATCTACTACATACATAGCAACACCGGTACCCAAACAACAAGATTAGATGTAGCTTGAAATAGGGTGTATGGAATTTGAATGTGCTGTACAATTATCGGTGGAATTTATAGCGTTTAGGTATTTGATTTTTAAAAGTCATAATATAGGGGTCATCACATGTCGTAATGCATTAACAGAACTCCTGGTATTAAAGATAATAGACTGATATATAGTGGATTATACGTATCAAGAGATATGGGATATATAATCCAATTTTAAATGATACTAGTTTTCTATTAGTCTTGGACAAAACGGACAAACCCTTTTGGTCAAGAGATATTTTCATATTTTCTGGCATCTCCTTAGTAAAACGGATAGATGACCATTTTCCCAAGGGACACTTCATTCAGTTATGAATTCAAAATAGGGCGGATGGAATCATTTTGAATCTGGGTCAGGGCGAAACGACCTTGGGGACTTGGGGGGGGGCGATAACATGTGATACAAAGAAGAGAAATGGTACCATCTAGTACTAAATAAAGGAAAAACATACAACATTTATTTATTTATTTTATTTATTTATTCAACTTCACAGAAATAAAATTCTGAGAGGAGCCGGCAACAGGAACATAGAGTTCCTCTACTAGGCCGACTCCTCTAGAAACATAGACACAAAACAAACAAACAAACAACAATTAAAAAGAGTAATCAAATCAAATCACTAAACAATTATGACATCGACAGGTAGTGGTCCAGGTGCATAAGTTGTCGGTTGAAAATGTGTCATTTAGGCGAGATCTGTAGAACGAAATTAACAGTTTTTTAACAGACGGCAAGCTTAGATTTGAATACATGTGTTGACGTATGGATAATGGTAACATGTTCCAGATTACAGCAATTCGACTAAAATAGGAATGAGAAAAGGTTTCGGTTTTACATGGTCGCGGTACAAGTAGAAATTGGTCTGTTGAGCGGAGAGACCTAGTTGGTATGGATACAGTGAGCACACGAGATATGTTGATACAGTAGAAGTTTCTAAAACATTTGAACAAAAATAAAATGTCAAAAATTTCTCTTCTATAACACAATGGTAAAAGTTCAGTAATCACTAATCTGTCCTTATAACTAACTTCATAATTATTGCAGATATATTTGCTGGCAAGTCTTTGAACACTTTCTAGTTTACGCAGGTGTAACCTTGTATGTGGAGCCCAAACCTGAGAACCGTAGTCTAAATGTGGAATTACAAGTGAACGGTACAGATTTAGTTTAACAGTGAGGGGGGCATTATAACCAACTGATCTCTTGATCATAGCAAGAATTGAGTTACATGTGGATACCTTCTTAACTACATGTGTGTTCCATATAAGGTTGTGTTGTACATGAATGCCTAAGTCGTTATAACAGTCAGATCGGTTTAGTACAGAATCAGCAATGCTATAAGAGTATTGAACTGGTGATAGTTTACGTGTAATGCTAACAACTGTACATTTAGAAGGATGAAATGTCATTTTCCATGCTTCCCCCCAGGCTACAAGGCGATCTAAGTCAGATTGGAATCTAATACAATCAAAAACTGAAGTGATTCTTCTAAAACATTTTGCGTCATCTGCAAACATGGCCATGCGCCCAAAACTGAACACAATCAGGTAAGTCGTTAACAAATAACAAAAATAAAAACGGGCCTAATATAGATCCCTGAGGGACCCCTGACACCACCGGTAAGTACTCGGACACGTGACCTTCTACAACAGTTCTCTGGAATCGTCCAGACAGGTAGTCGCCAAATAGTGCAAGAAGTTGGCCGGAAAACCCAAAAGATCTTAATTTATGCACTAACAGTTTATGAGAAACACTGTCGAACGCTTTACAAAAGTCCAAATATATAACGTCGACTTGCCCAGATCTGTCCAGTACTTCACCGATTTCGTCATAAACTTCCAGAAGTTGAGTAGTGGTGGATTTACCTTTCAAAAAACCATGTTGAAGGGGGTATAGGGCGTCAGATAATAATGGATAAAGAGAGTTGAAGACACATCTTTCGAATACTTTGCTAGTGATACATAATAAAGAAACTGGTCTGTAATTCGATACGACACTCTTGTCCCCCTTCTTAAACACGGGAGTAACATTAGCCCTTTTCCACATACTTGGAATTTGTGCATTACTTAGACATAGTTTAAAAAGTTTTTCCAATGATGGAGCTAACTTGCTTGCACATCTATTTAAAACAATAGCAGGCAAGTCATCAGGCCCTGTGGCCTT